GATTTCAACAACTTCTACCCTACCATCAATCTCAGCCTGGATCAGTCCAACAAGAGATCCACTTCCTTAACACTACCCTACAATTAAATAATGGACAAAATTTCCACCATCCTATACCGGCAACCTACTGACCGCTATACTTACCTTCATGCCTCTAGCTTCCATCCCAACCACATTTCTCAATTTATTGTATATAGCCAAGCCCTAAGATACAACCGGATTTGCTCCAATACCACAGACAGAGACAGACACCTCCAGGATCTATATAGACTCTATATTATAGAGCATTCATAAAACTGAAATACACCCCTGGAGAAGTACTGGATTTGCTCCAATCCCACAGACACAGACAAACACCTATAGGATCTATATAGAGCGTTCATAAAACTGAAATACACACCCAGAGAAGTGAAAAAACAGATGGATAGAGCCAAAAAAGTACCTAGACATGAACTACTTCAAGACAGGCCAAAAAGAGAAAACAACAGAATTCCACTTATCTACAGTCTACAACTTAAATCCCTCCAACACATTATCAACAATTTACAATCTAGCCTGGGAGTGACCCCTCACTTTCAGAGGCCTTGGAGGAAAGGCCAATCCTCACTTACAGACACCCTCCTAACCTCAAACAAATTCTTTCCAATAACCACACAACATACCTTCTTCATAAGCATTGAGGAACCCACCCCTGCAATCAGCCCTGGTGCCAACTCTGCCCATATATCTACACTAGCAATTTCATCACTGGACCCAGCCACATCAGCCACCAATTCAGAGGCTCATTTAACCGCACATCCGCTAATGTGATCTATGCCATCAAATGCCAGTAATGCCCCTATGCAATGTATATTGGCCAAACTGGACAGTCTCTATGGGAAAGAATTTATGGACCAAATCAGATATCTGAAAAGACAACACACAGAAACCTGTTGGAGAACACTTTAACCTCAGTGATTTCAGGCAAATTCCACAAGTTAAATACATATAGAAGGATTAGAACTTAACTTCATTCACAAGTTTAATTCAGGCAAATGGTATGAACAAGGACATCAGCTGGCTCCTACATTACCTTCCACATCCTCTGAATTAACCTACCAACTAAACAATGGAGGTGGTTCTTATCAGTCTCTTGTAACTATTTAGCCTTTAAGGTGCTACTAGACTATTTGTTGTTTAAGTTTTTCCTGTTACAGACTCTGAAGCTTATCTACTCACTGTGTCTCTTCTTCCTCCCCTCCCCTTTTTCCCTTCCTTTTTTCTCCTCTTTTTCCCTTCTTCCCTCCCTTCTTTATTTTTGGATCTGGACTTCTAACACTCCTGTCATCTGAAGAAGTGGATTGTGCCCACAAAAGCTCATGATACCATCTGCATGTCTTTAAGGTGCTACTAGTCTATTTGTTGTTTAAGTTTTTACATTTGTACTTGTCAGTTGTAATATCTTCTCCATTTTAGGAATTTTTTTAAATAGGAAAAAAATTAAATTCCTATGTTGTGCATGTGCTATGTTTAAGATGTAATTTAGTATTTACAGGGTTCTTCTACCAACTCCTCTCCTAACCCTCATCCTCTTGCTATCCCAATCAAAGGCCATAAATTTACTTTTCCCTCCTTTAGCCTGCATCTTGGGCAATCATTGACACCTGTATGATGTGAGTAAAATGCTACCAGTCAGAATAATAGTAATTTGTACCCATTTCACATTAACTATGTGCAGGTGTAAATGACTGTACATTGTGCAGGGCAGTGGAAAAAAAACGCCCTATGTAGAAGTGGAATTTCAGTTCATCTGAACCAATACGGATTTTATTTTTCTTGACAGCAAAAGGAAGTAGAATCTTAGTCAAAAGATTCATTTTAAAAATAGATCTTATCTATTTTCCTTGTGATCACACTTAAAGGTCACGCTGCTCATAATACTAGAGCTGTGGAATTACAAGATATAAACAAGCAAATTTTCATTGAAGCATGTACAAGAAAAAAGGGTTATGAGAACATTACGCTGTATGTTGGCCACTTGCTCCTGCTCAGAGTAAAGAACCTGATAAATAAAGCAGCTTTTTAGTGGATGCTGAGACACATTCTATATTTGGTCAACTAAGGCTTCAAATTTCTTACACAAGAGGGGAAAAAACATTGAGCTACACACTCAACCCTGATGAAATCATTGATGCCTAAGACCAAGGCCTCTAAGGTGGAATAGCATTCCCTCACTTAGCATTTTACCCTCCTGAAGTCAAGGTACCTTTCTGGTCCCATGGTTTGTGTTTGAAGTGAAGTTACCAAAATCAACAGCTGAGTCAGCAATAGCTTCAGATGTGGGAGTAGCAGTTGTATGCACAGAAGGAACACAAAGATACTGCTATGGAAGGGAGGAGACAGTTGCTGCACAGAGCATGCTGCTTATTGTTTTCCACAGAATCCTCTCTTGAATGAAAGATGGAAGTAGGGGGGAAAAATAAAATAAAAAGCTACCCTGATGCATGGCTGTCATATCAAAGCAGAAAGCAACCATGAAGAGACAAGAGGATACCCAACTGATCCAGAGAGGGGGAATACAGCCTCAGTCTGCAAACATGAAGGTCTCTGAAACAGGCTCCCATAATGTAAACACTGACACATTATTAACAGTACTTTACCACAAAGCCACAACAGATACTTCTGAACCAAGTTAAGTTTTCATTAAATCCAGCACTTAACCCATTTCTCCTCTCCAACTCCAAAATAAGTTTGTCCAGCTACATAAGAACATTTGTCACAGTTTTTCTACTCAAATGATTAACCCTTTGGAAACTGCACAGATACATGCCTTAATTTAGTCATTTGAAAAGACTACTCTTAAAAGCTTAAGACAGCACTTAGTTTACCATAACTGAGTGCATAAAAGCAGATGGATAGCTGATGAAGCCATAAGCCACTGGCTAAGGTAAAAATGTAAACAGAGCAGTCAGGAGCAATGACAATTTGTCATGGCACTGTTTTTCAAGTCTAAATCAATTCATTTTTTCAGATATTAAAAAGTGGTAACTCACAGTCATCTCAGAGATTCTGTTAACACTTGCACATACGAATACCCTTTACCACCTCACTACTCATGAGTGGAAGGGCAATAACTACTCATGGGAAAAATTTGGTCGACACTAGATATTTTAGCCTATCAGCTTGTATGAGGCAGAAAATGGAACTAACTTCCCAAAATTAAAAGGCCTAATTTAAAAGCCTCTTTCAGAAGAACAGATCTTTCACCATTTTCCTTCTCAACATGTTAAGATCTGTCATGCCTATTAAAAAACAACAACCACCCCTCCCCCCAAAAAACCTTATTTTTAAGTTCTCTCATATTCTATAATTTTGCTATCCATTAACCCTGCTTTCCTGGCATAGGAAGCAAAGTCAGCTGCATCCAATTATATGACCCCATTTCTTAGCTCTAGGTTAATCTTACCAATACTGCTTTATAATTTGGTATTCTTTAAGTGTCTTCCATAGTTTAGAAAACTAAATACTCCTGTGAACTTAATGATTTAGTAGACAATACCTTAATCTATACTGATCTTTCTACAAAATCCAGTTAGTTGAAAGATTGCTGGGTGTCTGTCAGAATGCATTCGGCACTTTTGTCACATTAAAAATGAAACCAGATTGTAAAGCTCATCTGTCAAAATTAATTTTAACAGCACTAAAGGTCTTTAGATGCCAAATAATTCAAGAGATACGATTGTGAGGCTATCCTAATGCTCACAAGTTTTGAATCTCTGTAATCTTTTTAAAATCTGAATCAATAAGCGTGGCACTATGATGTGGAATCTTTCACCACTGAACAAGTTACCTATTTAGTAGTTTTCATTTGCTGTGTGTATTTTAAAGAAAACTTATAGTGGCTGAAAACAGAGAGAGAAATATGTTACTAGACTGAAAATAGTAAGTGGCATACAAACTAGCTTTGGCTTTGTCTGACTGAGTAGTTTTACGTGTGTGTGTGTGTGTGTGTGTGTGTGTGTGTGTGTGTGTGTGTGTGTGTGTGTGTGTGTGTGTGTGTGGAGAGAGAGAGAGAGAGAGAGAGAGAGACACACACACAGACGGGAAAATTAAAACATTTTTAGAGTACACAAATGGTAATGTTACTGAATTAAAATTAAGCACGGTATCAAAAAACCAAATTTTAGATTTTTAAGTCAGAAATACTTCACCTCACATCCTGCTTATAAAACTATACCTCAAACAACAGGTCAACCAGAATTAAGTGTTTCATGATGTAGCTGAACATGACTACAGGAGGCCCCCGACTTGCGACGCGACTGATTCTGGGGGAAGTGTCGCAAGTCGGAGGCATCATAACTTGAACCCTCATTTTATAATAGACACTGTGTTCCGCCATAAATGCGGGCCAAGGACATAAGTTGGGAGGGAGAGGGGGGTTTGGCCCTTTCCGCACTTACAAAAATGGTTGTAAGTGCAGAGGGTCAGAACTCAGGCGGTCGCAAGTCAGGGACCTCCTGTATTTTGCTGCTGTTCAGCCACAGCTATGTGCAGTAACAGAGCACATTTGGCAGTATTCAAATTTAAGTTTACCCTTTCTAGTGCACAGAGGTTAGCCACCTAAACTCATTTGGTTTCAATCCTAGACAATACAAAGCAATTGCTAAGATCTGAGATCCAAATCTCCCTTCATTTTGCTTATTCCCCTACATTAAACTGTTACTCAATTGCTGTAGAAATATATAAATGTAGTTACAACTGAAGCAGAAGCATAAAAAAAAGATTGAAGCTGATGATGAAATGAAGACCTATTTTAATGCAAATTTACGTAGATCTATTTTTACTAATACTTTAAATCTTCCCTACCCCTTGTTTTGAAGGACTGATAATTTAAGCACCAAATGACTTTGGGGTTGTTGAAGTGGAAAGGAAAGTAGTGGGCACTGAAAACGAGACTAAGCAAATTGCGAATTTATGAACCTTACTATCTCACACTTAAGAAGAAATGAACTCAAACTCACTCCTTCAATGCTTTGCAACACCAGCTGCCGGTGAGGTCTCGCTCCAATTCAAACCAGCTCTTCATACATTTGGTCTTTGAATAAGACTTTATGATCCTGTTTGATAGGGACTATTTCTTACTATCTGAAAAGCATAAGGAAAGCCATTTAAAGCATGTATATAATTTTCCTGGAGAATTCACTACATATGTTCAGATGAATGCTGCTGATATTCAATTTACAAATAAGTTCTCTGTAAACATATTTTGGGATTATCACCTCATTTGACAATTACTTCGGATACTCCTGTTTAATAATGCTGTGATTTCTGAAACAGAAACAATAGCCTCCCTACACATCCCCAACCAACTAGCAAGGACCTAGTTGGTTATACTGATTAAAAAAAAAAAAATCAGACTTATTTAAAAATAAAATACTAAATTTTAATACAATTAAATCTTACCACAAACATGCTACACTTATAATCTCATAAAATGAATTAGTGGCTCTAGTCTGTCCTGCCTAACTACCAGCTCTTTCTTCTTGAAAGTTCAGGGCTTTCAATTCCGTTTCTCAGCAGACTCAAGTAACAGACACAGGCTGTATAGGATTGTATTTGTTCTGTGCTTATGTGATGGTGGACCTGGGCCACACATGGCAGAGGATTTTGTCTTAACACACTGTCTTAACTAAGACAATATACAGAATAGGATGGAGGCATCATAGAAAACAACAGTAGAGTGGACTGAAGAGAAAAAGGGAAGACATTCAGCATTCACACAGCTTCCTATATTTCTCTCCCCTTTGCCACAGAAAATCTGTCATGGCTTCTGGATGTAAGAGGGACCCTATCTGGGAATATTTTGAAGAAATTCATTCGCTGGGTAAAAAAAGGAAAAAGTGTAAGCAACCGCAAGAGGATGCAAGTAGGTCCTGCAAGAACGAAACAAAAGAGGGCTAGTTGTAGAAGTTCTAAGGACACCATATATTTAGAGTTCTGAGGACTTGTCTGTTAAACTTAATACAATTTGATTTTTTTTAAAAACTCTAAGGACAGCTGTCAGCCTGCAAATCAGGGATTAGCTTTACATAAATACTGCAACTGCAAATGTAACATTTAAGATGCTTGCCCGTTACAATTAACCAGTGGGGGCTGGAGTAGCCCCCTGCCTGTGGTGGGCCCAGCTTGGCTGGAACAGCACACCGCAGGTGGGGCCGCTCCAGCCCAGCCATGGTGGGGGACTGCTTCAGCCAGTGAGGCTGGAGTGACTCCCCTATCTAAACGGTCAACTGGGTAAACACAATCCCTAAAATAAACATGTTTTAGCGATCAGATTTGCATCACTGTTTAAGAAATGTGACAGAAATTTGATTTAAATCATTCCACCCTGCTAGGTGACAATCACATGGATTTCCAACATGCTTTTATCATATACTACAAGAAGAGGTTTGAAAGAAGCTGCTGAATCTGTGTATGTGTATGGAGAATATATCTGTGCTTCATTATTTGATAAAGAATCAGTGCAATTCGTGCATCCTGCCTACTGAAACACCACAAAGAGCATTCTGATTCTGTATCATACTGCCTCTCAGTCAAGCTGTCAAGGGCATGTTTATTGGCACTGGAAAGAAACCGTGTGTAACAATGATTGGTCAACTTGTTTCCAATGCAAGACACTAAATCCCAGTTTTAAATGATTGTGAAGAGTCAATTAAATTCTTGTGTTCTAAATTCTTGCCCCTATATCTGGTTCATTATTGTGTGTGCAGCTGGCTCCTCCTTTCTTTGTTGAGATTACTGGGAGAAACTAGGCTAAAGTAATGAGCAAAAAATTAAATTCAAAGTGGCAAGATTTCTATTCACACTCCAGAAGGAAGATGAAGGATTGGGTCTGCCATCATGAAAGGCCTGTTCATCTCTCAAAATGTAACCCTTTCAGTTTAAGATTTCATAGTACACACAGAATGCTGTTGTTGAGAAATACTGTGATCTTTGCCATCGTAAGACTGGGTGAAAGCTGTTATACCTGTCAATGACGAAAATAAGCAATTTTTCAAGCGACTTAACGGACTATCTAGTTCCACTGAAAAAAATACTTACTGAGCTTGCCTTGCACAAAGACTTTGAAGATTTTTTGTAGCAAGGCTTTTCAATAAATCAAAAACATCCTCTACACCTACAGAAGAGAGCAGAAAGGATTTTCTTTATCTGCCCCAGCTGTCCAAGGACTGGGGACTCTTTCCACAGTCACATAAGCAGTCCTTGCACTTGAAATGAAGCACATAACTTAAGATACTTGTGTATGCATGACTAACTATTCGAGGAGGCAGCAGTGGTCAAGTTGAATTTCAGCAGGTTTTTTTCTAATTTATCGAAGGAGGACTTTTCCTTTAATTTTTTCCTCAATCTTCACTTAGGCTATGTATAGACTACAGTGCTTTTCCAGAAGTATACCGTAAAAGCAATGCCACGTCCAAGGAACATGTCCGCTTTTTCAAAAAAGCAGATGCGCTCTTCCACCATCCCTATAAACCTCATTCTACAAGGAAGATGTATTGAAAAAGCAGGTTTTTCTGAAATTTGGTGCCATGTAGATGCACCAAATTTCAAAAAAAGCCTCTTTCGACAGAAAAGTGGAAAAAGATTGTGGTTTGCAATTTGCTTATCTTTTTCCGACTTATCTTTGGAGTCTAGACGTAGCCTTACAGAGGAGAAAAATAGTTTTAGCTTCCAATCTTGGTGGTTTTTTCCTAAGAAATGCATATTTTAGGGTAATTACTAAACTTCTGCTTTCCTAAAAGAGACAGGTGAGATCACACTGCACTTCTCAACAGCATTACATGAACATATGCAAACAGCTATATTGAAAATAATGAAGTTTTACACAAAGTGTTTAGAGATGCCCCAAAGTCATGAAATAATCCCCCTACATTTGCTTTATTTATAAGTGTTAGTTTACAGTAACCCTTTCCTGTGAATTAATAACCCAAGAGACAGTCTTGTTTAAGTTATCAGCATGAAGTAAACATTTGGTATTAAAACAAACATGGGGACATTTTAAAGAACTAAATTATTTAAAAAATGCTTTAAAATAACATTCGTGTGCCAGTGTTCGTGTTCATCAGTCTCATTGTTAATGAGATGTTGTGGTCTACACAGTTCACATTCTTATAGGTTTTCATTCAGTACACAAATGCTATTCCTCCATCTGAGGTTTTGGGTATGTCTATACTTGCACTTCAACAACAAAATGTTGTTCACGGATGCTTAACCCACTCACCAACCAACCTCCCATGAATGACAAAGTTTTGTGGCAGCAAGTGAGTGTGAATACTGATTTGTCAGCAGGAGTCCTCTTCTTGGACAAACCAAAACTTCCTGATAGGGGGTGAAAGTATTTTGTCCGCAAAAGTGCCAAACAAACAGCATTTATACTGTCCAACTTTTCGCGACATGGCTGTGCTGCTAAAAGCTGTATTTTGTAGACAAAGCCTGAGACACAAAAAGCCACTGTTCTGAAAGAAGGTGACTCAGTTGACAGAAAGATCACAGGAGAAAAATCTCTATATGAAGTAAAACTCCCACTATCAGTATTGCATTCACACTGCAAAAGCTGCATGCAAGCTGTGACTGCTATGGACGGAATGGGCCACCAGGGCACCTGTGCTTTTTCCTCTTTCCTCTTCCTCATCCACACATGCCTTTGGCGAAAGAGCTCTTCCAGTTCCAGTTACAAATACCCAAGCCTGGTTTGATTTATACACAGTTGAACACATCAAAGCATTTTGCAACACATTGACAGCAACCGCTTGTAAATTCAGATATTGGAGTGCAGTTATAATTCCAAATGATATCCACTATCATACACCAAATCCACATTCATCCAAAAGTCAATAATGACATAGGGTAGGCACCTAGAAAGCAGCAACAGTTTCTCAACGTAAGTGCCAAGAACTACCCATGAGCACCCAATCTCTGGGACAAGACAGCTCTGATTTACCATTCATGTTAGTTTCATATCTAAGCTGGGCCTTAGAATAAATCAAAGGTTTCATTTCCAAGTCACAAATTTCAGTTTAGTTGCCTGTGGACCTTAAAACAAAGTAGGCTAAAGGTATTCAAGAATAACCAGAATATTTTAAAAGATACTGTCAATTAAAGTAATCTCTCCAAAAGCTTTTGATCTACTATGGTTATAAACAACATGTAGGATTCCTATTATTGAAGGATTAAGGAAAATATTTTTCTGCATTCGAGGGCAGGTGTGTGTAGTCAATTTCACTTTCTCCCCTTTATAATCAATCTCTTACAGCAAAAGGAGAAAGGAAAGAATGTAAATAAGAAACCATAGAAGTGTTACCTTTTATGGCTTTACCATCACATAGGGTGTGTCTAGACTACAGGGTTTTCGAAAAAAGTAGCCTTTTTCAAAAAAACTTCACCTGCGGCTAGACTGCTGCCACATTCTTTCAAAATTAAACTGAAAGAACGCAGCAGTTTTTTTGACCACGGAAAACCTCATTTTACAAGGAATAATGCCTTTTTTCAAAAGTGCTCTTTCAAAAAAAAGTGTTATTGAACGCAAATAGGGCTTTTTCAAAAAAGCATCCAGATTGCCTGAGTGCTCTCTTGAAAAAGCTGCTCTCTTTCGAAAATACTGGTTGCGGCAGTATCGAAAATACTGGTTGCTTCCTTATCTGCAGGGGCAGATACAGTACCTGCAACTAACTTTTCTGTTTGTTAGATTTCAAGTTGATGGTGCCTCTATAAAAGTGAACTACAGAGGAAAGACACCTTTTTTGCCTTTTCTCCTCCTTACCACATATTTATGTGGCAGTAACATTTATTTTGCAGTGGGCAAGTCTGCCAATATTTGAGCATATCCTTAACATGGCTAATAGAGTTAGATATTATGGTTTTCCAAGACTCACTCTGCATTTTGGACAACTACTTGCAGCAATCTCACTAAAATATCATCTTGCCTATTTTCTTAGAGAACTCTGATGCTTCACAAGAACATAAGACCAGCCACACTGGGTCAGACCAAAGGTCTGGCTAACCCAGTAAGCTGTCTTCTGACAGTGGCCAGTACCAGGTGCCTCAGAAGGAAAGAAGAAAACAGGTAACCAAGTGCTGCTCATATCTAGC